TCCAGAGCTGGACCCTCCTGTTTGAAGCTACATGACAGTACACATTCACAGAGTGGAAGGGGTTGGAAGGGACCTCAAGCATCATCTAGTCCAACCCCCTGCCAGAGCAGGATCACCTAGAGCAGAGCACACAGTAGATCACTCAAAAGATGTGCTGGTAGACATGCAGGCACGATGAGGGAGACCACTCTGCATCCCTCAGCCTGGCCCTATGCAGAGTGCAGAAGGGTCTGCTGTCACCGCATGTCCGACCTGCGTGCGGAATGATATTGCTGTCCCCAACCATGGCATTAACTCACGTGGCTGAGTTAACCGTTCACTTCTGAGGATGTGTGTGAAGCTGAGAGCAAGGAAAGGGCTCCAGGGAGCAGCCTCCAGTTGGCGCATTCAGCCGGGCAGTCCCAGTTGGCGCATTCAGCCGGGCGGTCCCTGGACGGCGATGCTCCGGGCACAGAGCTGCCCGTGCCACCCCATCCCAGCACTCACGGGTCCCCTGCTGAGCCGGCTGCAGGGTGCTCTCATGTTGCCCTCTTGTGGTCCTAGGAAATGTTGGACCGTCTCAATTCCCCTTACTTGCCAGGACAGGGACCGAGGAGGGGGATTTCTTCTCTGGAACAGGACAGGCAGCCTAGAAGGCCATGTCACCCACACTCGCAGGCTGCTGGGGGGTTTACAATGCAGCAGGAAAATGAGAGTCTCAATCGCAAGCTTTTTCCCCTACAGGAGGGTTCCTGTGAGACACAACCTTCTGGAGGACTCTCTCTGGGCTGGGATTTGTCCAGCAAATTCTCCTCCCAGCTCTGAATATTTTTGTGCTGAACAGTTTGGTAAAGCTCCACTTGGCCATGGCCGAGCTCTCCACGTGAACACACGGTTACAGAATGTTTCCGAGGCAGCACTCTCAAGCACGCCTCGCAAAGGCTTGCCGTGAACTTAGCCCCCAGTGTTGCAAGAATCCTGGGCTAAAAATGGTGCTGAACCTTTGGACGTAACATCTGTAACACCGTGGTTTAATGTTCTTTGGAGGCTCCAGTGAAGGTGAAAGCAGTTGACAGGTTTGTGTCAGAAGAAACTGTGAACAGTAGATCCTCCCCACCCTCTCTGGGCCACTCATGATTTTGTAGACCTTTCCCCCACCTTCTGTCCTTCTTGCAAGCTGAAGAGCGCAGCCTACACGGTTATTCACTGTAGAGAGTCTGTTCTTGTATCTTTGATCATTGCTGCCCACCTCCCAACCTTCTTCTGTTCTCATTTACCCTTTCTGAGAGGACAAGAACTATATGCAGACACTGGAGAAACATGTAAACAAAGTGAATCCAGGCCCAGAAGAATGAACCAAAACTCTTACAAGCAAGACTGTGAGGATCTTGGGATGAGCAGGAACCCCAGTTGGTAGGGCAGATGGGACTCTGTGCATGCAATACATGCTGGTTCCTGTGGCTGGCATAAAAGGGGCAGGAAAAGGGATAATACAAATAGCTGATATCTGAACTCAAAGAAGAGTGAGGCAGCTTTGCTGGGTATGTCAGCAGAGCTAGGTTGGTGGGGGCAGTGACCTGAAAGGCTGCGGGAGGGATTAGGATGATGCTAAAAGCTCAAAATCTGTCTCAGCCAGGAAGAACAGCAGAACTTTTGGGCTCAGAGGGCAACATCTAAACCCTGTGACAGGGACTGGCATCCATTCTTCAGCTCTGTCAAACAGGATACAAGCAACCGTACCTGCGGGTAAGAGAGCCCCCAGCTCCCTGTGCAGCCTCAGGCCCTCTGCCAACAGCATCACGCCATGCCAGCAGTGTGGGTCCCCGCCTCGGGAGAGCAGACGGGGAGCCGGCGCCCAGCCTGCGCATGTATGAGCACGACTCCAACAGCGGTGCGTGCGGCGGCTCTGCACACTCGGCTCCTGGCTGGTGGCAAGCCAAGCTGGGATATGGGCGGTTGCTATGGAGAAGTGTAGCTAAATGCACAAACAAGTGCCAAACGGCGATAGCTGCTCCGGGGGCTGAGAGACTCAGGGCTTTATAGCGTGTTGCTGAGGGATGGTATCCCTTGGGGTACTGAGGCTTTTTTTGGGCTGCCAGGAAAATCAGTGCAGGACCTACTGTACTTGGTGTGCCCCACTCTTATGTGATGGACAAACTGGCCCGCCGTGTCACACTGTTCTGCTGGGGAGCCATTTGTTTTAGTGCATCTTGGTGCTCTGGCATGATCTTACGGTCTATCTAGGCAATCCAAGCTAGCTCCTAGCAGCAAAACTGAGACTGCAGCAGATGGACAGTGTAGACCGACTCGTCAGCTACTGCCAAAGCTGAAGCCCACGAAGCAGCGAGACTCCCAGGAGAAGGCAACAGCGGGGAAGGGGACCCCCGGCGCTGCTCGCGTCTGCAAGGCGGCAGTGCTGGGTGGGGAAGAAACCGAACAGGGTTTGCACAGGCAACGGGCTCCTGGGTGCTCTGCCAGCACCCCATCACGGGTGCATGTGCCCAGACAGATGGCTGCGGGGGTGGCTGGCACCCCC